GATTTGTATCGTGAAAAGCACTGTACAAATAAACTTGACTTGACTCTTATTCAGCAAATTCACATTAAATTGATCAAAAGTGACAGTAAAAAACTAAGAAAATGCTGTTCCCTAAAACTTTTTATTTATAGACTTCTGAATGATCTTGACATTTATCAATATTACTACTTTTACTGTATTTCAGATCAAATAAACACAGCCTTTGTGAGACTTCTTTCAAAACATTTTTTTAAAAACCTTACCGACCCCAAACTTTTGAAGGGTGGTGTATTTAGAGTGACACTTGCTGGAACATGTGCTTTCCGAAATATTTGGGAATATGTTGTTGCAGTGTCTTCAACAACTGACCTCGAGATGTGGCAGCAGCTCAGAGTTGATCAGGAGTGGTCAAACACATTGACATTATGTAGACATGACAACGTACTAGTGACAAGCAACACCAAGAGCCAGAACCAGACAGAGGATCACATCTGAACACTACAATAATAATACAGAAATTCTATATAATTAATATATGGTTGATGACAAGCGCATATATCCTCCTTTACAATGGAGGGGTTTCTCAATTAACCATCTCTACTCAGACCACAGCCTCAACCCCCAAGCTTGTTTGTGATTCAACACCATGTCCACTTCCATGGCTATTTTCAGGGCAAAAACCAGGTTGAAATGTAACAAAAGGTATAGTGATTGAAAAGGTTAGTAATAACCATATTTGACTGAAACTCTAAAACTGTCTTTAACCCCAAGTTGCCAACCAGAGACATATCAAAACCAATCATATAATTCAATGGTCAATACATGTGTAAACACTGAATAACTAGAGTTTCTAAATGACTGTGTTTTAAACCACTAGATTAGTAAACTAGTGCTGCTAAAATAAACAAAATTAGAATTTGACTTGAGAAACTGACCAGGGAAATTGAGTGGCTCAACTTTGTAGTAGTGTTGCCAGTCCTGTCCATAGGTAATGTAGTCCAGGTACCAAGGGGCAGAAAGAATGGTTGTAAATCCTGCCCCAGTCACATTCTGAAGCTCCTCCTCCATCTTGTTCCCCATCCACACCTCCACCACAGTGTCATCCTTCAGCTGGAACATGCATAAAACACATTACTAGAGGCATATTGTTATGGCAATTTAGTGGTGTGTTAGCAGTGGCTTGTGAAAAGGCGAGCATGCAAGTCAAGCTATTTGTGATTAAGAAGGTTAAAGAAAAGTAGATGAGGCTATGATTTGTAGTCACAAAGCATTTTGGGCCTGCAAAATTGTGTCTTAATTCGTGTATAAAATGTGGTAACTTAGAAATGAACATTATGACTGTAATATAACATTTATGGATTTACATTACTTCCCATCAGCACAGATAAGAAGAGCTCAGCCTTACCTTCACTCCATTATCAAACACTTCCTGCCACACCATGTAGCCTTTCTTGGTAGCAGCCACAATATCAAGTAACCTGTTTT